GGGGTCTGAAAACTCGCTAAATATAGCGACAAAGTCGCTAATTTGGCAACACTGTCTGTGAGTGAGTGAGTGAGTGAGTGAGCGAGCGAGCGAGCGAGTGAGTGAGTGAGTGAGTGAGTGAGTGAGTGAGTGAGTGAGCGAGCTGGCACTCCAAGAATCATTAATAGAAATATATTCTGAGGGAAACATGGAGGCCGTCCCACCTCGAGAGATCTAACCAACAGTCACACGAGGATCAGCATCGTGTGCTGAGGCACTGATGCATGACAGTTTAAAATACACATATATATAAAATGCAGGTAACTTTACTCTAACTGTGTTCATAGCAGCAGTTATCAGGGTATTTGTTGAGTGCTGGGACTGGTACGAGTAAACAGATTAATGAGGCTGTATAATGTGTGACAGAGATCAACATGCTGTTAAACTTTAGTTTGGGGCAAAGTCCCCACTCAGGTGTGTTTGACTGTGTTTTCATACTAACTACTGCACTACAGAGACGACTCCTGATTGGCTGGACTCACAGTTTCCTCTCTGTCTTTGTGAAAACGAGACGATGTTACTGCTAATGGTGACGCTGTGCTTACATCTAATGCTGCTTCACCTCAGAAAGGATTCAGCGAGTGAAAGGGTGGATTAAAGGAACACGACTTTTCCTCACAGCAGTTCATGCTGAACGTGTTCGTTTGGGGCTTTTTTTTGTTAGACGGTTAATTAATTGCAGGGAGCTCACAGCTACATCAGCAAACCATTAACTTTCACTGTGAACTCATCGTGGCTGCAGTTACCGCTGACCCAGTTTCCTGCAGACACTTTCACTCACACGCATTTTCAAGTGGGTAGATTTGACATATTGTCTTCATCGACATCCCAAAATTCAGAAACTGTGCGTCATCTCTCACCACTATGATGGCGATGCGTCCTCCGACGTCTCCCACCACAGTGATGGGGGGCTTCTCTTTAGGGATCAACACTGGAAAGCAACACAGACAGTGATTCATACGGGTGCACAAAGTCCTGTGTGTGACGAGTTCTCTGCAAGTGTGCATTACATGGTATCTCCATGCTGGGGTGAATGGCTCCGGTGGTCTTGACGGTGGGTGGGGAATGTCGGCCGTCTACTTGGTCTGATTCGGCGTCCTGAGCTTCTCCGTGGATCACTGCGATACCCAGACGCAGCCGCTCGGCGAACGACTGAGCCCTGCGCACAAAGAGTCAGCAGCGCTTCGTAACTTATACACAGATACACAGAAACCAGCCTGAACTCACGTCCACACTGTGACAAACATAAAAGCTACAAAAAGAGGCAACAAGCTGGCCTCATCAGCTTGTTAACACAGGTAAAGGTGACTTGGAGATGAGCCCACCTTTTGGCAGAAGCTGGCGACTTGGCAACAATCACAGCGTTTCGGTAGTCGGGGATCTGAGGGGGAGGAGACACAGAACTGAGGTCAGTTACATACGGTTAAGCACACAATAGCTTATCCAATCAGAACTCAGCAAGCAAGACTGTCAAGCTTCTTTGTTTCTCTCCGTGTTGAAGGGGAATTCATTCCAATAAATATTCATATCCAGGTGTCAGCAGGGATGCCTGGATAGAGAGTTTAGCAGGTGTGTACTGCAGGTTACAGATTCCTACATTTAAATTACAGCCTAAATAATAATCCCAGTATACAAATGGACAAACTGGTCTGTTTAAAGAAAGTTCAAAACAAGTTTCTTTTTTGTATAAAGTGACCTTTGTCCATGTGCTGCTTCCAGCAGAAGTGATGTTCTTCCAGGTGTGATGGTGCTCTGCAATATTAGACTGACCCCGGTAGCTTTGGACCTTGTTCCCATTCACTAAACTGAATGTTGTATGTAATAGCAGGCAGAGCCGCTAACGTCAGCAGAACAGCCTCGCTTATATGAACACTGTAACTGTGGATGCTCGTGCTAAATGTGGTGCAAGTGTCAAAAAACGATGTCAGGAAATTACAGCAGATCCCTTCAGACTGGCTTTTGTTTACGAATGAAATTAGTAAGGAACACATGGCCATCTCGGGCACAGAAGCCCCTCCCACCTGCTCCCACCCGAGTCAGCCAATCAGAAGTAAGCTTAAAGGGAGAGGAGCTAAAATGACACAAGACGATGAACTAATGTAGAAAAGTATCAAAAAAGTATCAAATTTGTTAAAGTTAAGACTAGAAAGAATAAAAATAATAGAAATGAGGTGTGTGTGTGTCACATGTGTTTTTAGAAACGACCTCTTCCTGGATATATTGCAGCAGAAACGGGGAGGCTCTCAAATTGTCCACTGGGATGTTGAAGAAGCCTTGGATCTCTTTCTGATGGAGGTCCATGGTGATCAGGTGGGTGAGGCCTACACAAACACGGTCACGTCAGCTCGTAACATGTAACACTTCGATATGTGACGTTGGATAGTGTCCTGTCTTCTTCTCCAGTGCTTTAAAGGGACAAACTCACCAGCTTTACACATCATTGATGCAACAAGCTTGGACACGATGGAGCCCCTCTTCCTCATCTTACACTGCTTGCTGTAGGGGAAGTAGGGGAGAACGCCCGTGATGCTTTTGGCGCAGGACGTCCTGCATGCGTACACCATGATCAGCATCTCCATTATGGTGGTGTTCACGTCCCTGAAGCACAGAGAGACGAGCAGACGATTACACGTGAGGGACACGTTTCTGGGGAAACGTCCAAACAAATATTTGTCTTCTCTCTTACTTTGACATCGTTTGGATGACAAACACATCTTTGCCTCGCACCGACTCTTGGATCTGTACCCGCGTTTCTATGGAAACAAAAAGCGGATGTGAGAAGGAAAGAGCAGAGATGAGCCTCGCCGGTACACGCCCCCTAACAAAGCCTACA